ACGATTAGCTCCATGAACACCACCACAAAGTTCACCAGCTGCAAATAAACCTGGAATTGGACCTTCTTTATTTAAAACTTCAGCTTGTGGTGAAATTTTTACACCTTACATATTTAAAAGTTTTCCATGAAATAAATAATACAAAATAAATAAATAAATAAATAAATAGTATTATATATATAGTAAATAGAATACATTAATTATATTAATTAGTATTATCAATTTTATCTATTTAATTTTTAATAAATATAATCTTTTATAATCATCTAAAATATTATTATTATCTATTTAATTCTTTTTTTTTTTTTTAAAAAAAAAAATTTACCTCCCATAGTAAAGTGAAGCACTGGACAAACAATAGCAACATAATATTCATCATCCATAACAAATGGACCATTTGGGAAGAATTTTTTACCAAATTTATCTGTCTTAGTTTCAATATTTCTATTATATTTATTGAATTGCTTTTCTAATTTTTCTGGTTCAATATTCATTTCAGCTGCAAGTTCTGCCCCATTTTTAAATTTCTTCATAAGACCTCTTCCCATATAATGTCTTCATGTTTATAGAATAAATATTATCCATAATAATTACAATCATAATAGTAATAATAGTAATAAAATATTAATAAAATGTTATAATAATTAAAGAATCAATTAAAATTATTAGAAAAGTAAATAAAATATTATAAATTATAATAAAAAAATATAAAAATAAAAAATATATATATAATATATTTATAAAAAATAAAAAATAATAAAAAATAAAAATAAAAAAAAAAATAAAAATAAAAAAAAAAAAATAAAAAAAATAAAAAATAATAAAAAATAAAAATAAAAAAAAAATAAAAATAAAAAAAAAAAAAATAAAAAAAATAAAAAATAAAAATAAAATATAATTAAATAATAAAATAATAATAATTAAATAAAAATTAAAGAATATTGAATATAAATCTAAAAAAAATTAAAAAATAATACATAATACATCTATATATATTACTCAAAACATACTTAACGTGCCAAACTAATTCTTTAGCAGCTTTACTATTTAAAACTAATCTGAAAGGACCTTTACTATTCCACATTCTATCAGTGACGTAATCACGATAACCTAATTCATTACAGAATCTTTTACCATGACGATCAATTAAAATACCACCAACACCTCTTAAGGCTTCAGCAGCTAAAAACTATTAATAAATATATATTTAATTACCAATAAAAATAAAAATAAAAATAAAAAAAAATAAAAATAGAAATAAAAATAAAAATAAAAATAAAAAAAAATAAAAATAGAAATAAAAATAAAAATAAAAATAAAAAAAAAATAAAATAAAATAAAAAAATTAATATATATAAATATATATATATATATATATATATTATAATAACAATTTACCTTCCACTTAGCATCAGGATCTCTTGGATCAACTAAACCTGTTGGGTGAACTTGTACCATATCCATATGAATTAATTCAGCACCAATATCTCTTGCCATTTTAATACCATCACCTGTAGTAGTTTGAGCATTAGTTGATGGTAAATGATAAATATCAGGTCTTATGTAATATATTATTATATAATATAGAAATTATTATTAAACGATATAATTAATAATTATACAAATATATATATAAAATAAAATAATAAAAATAATGAATATTTAAATTCAAAATTAATTAATAATTATATAATTATTTATATAATTAGAATTGAAATAGTTTATTATTAATAAGTTTAGTTAATTTTACCTGTAAGCCTTAATTAATGAATTTTCAGTAAAATCAGCTGCAAAACCACCAGTAGCAATAATAACTGGACCGAATTCTTGTAAAGTTTCTCCATTCATTTCAAATTCAACACCAATGACTGCACCAGTTTCTTCGTTCTTTAAAAGTCTACGAACATTAGCCTTTTTAAGAATCTTTGCTCTATATGGTTGAGTTTTAGCAATATTTTCTAAGGCTTCTAAAAGAGTGTAAGTAATAGTCATTCCTGGAAAACGTTCAGAACCACGATGAGTACGTGGGAAGGTATGTCCACCAAGTCTAGAAACTAAAGATAAATCAATTTTAAATTTTTCACTTAACCATTCGACTGCAGAAGCACTTTCCCAAGTTAAAACTTTAGTTAATTCTGGAATAAGTAAATGTTTTGCTGAATCAGCAGAATCTTTGTAGAAAGCATCAACACTATCCTAATTTAAATAATTTTATTTTTATCATTTTATATATTTTTATTCATTATTTATTTATATATATAAAGATAAATTAAATATATATATATTAATCATTATATTAATAATTTCAAATTTCAAAACAAAAAAAATAAAATAAAATAAAATAAAATTTTGTAAAAAAAAAAAAAATAAAAATAAAAATAATATTAATAATATAAAATATTTTATATTAATAGTATTAAAGATAATAGGGCTATTATTACTATTATTACTATTATTATTATCAATATTCTTTTATATATATTCATTCAATCTTTTTTTT